TCAGTCTATAACCTTGTGTGTCAAGAGTCTCAGTAATGATATTCCTTCATATAGAAGATATTTCTGTACTTTAATTAATTTTTATTTTCCAACTATGGATTGCTAAACTTGATCTCCATGAAACAGATTAACTTTTTTTTTTTTTTTTTGAGGAAGATTCAGCCTGTTGCCAATCCGTCTCTTTTTTGCTGAAGAAGGTTGGCTCTGGGATAACATTCATGCCCATCTTCCTCTACTTTATGTGGGATGCTGCTACAGCATGGCTTGATAAGCAATGCATAGATCCGTGCCCAGGATCTGAACCTGCTAACCCCAGGCCGCTGAAGTGGACTGTGTGAACTGAGCTGCTATGCCACTGGGATGGCCCCCAGATTAACTCCTTTCTGTAAATTTTATTCCTGCTTCAAAAGTTTCAAAAAACAGGAAATCAACATCTCAAGATCTCAGACTTTCAGAGATTAAGGGGTTTTTGGAGAATGATCCCAATTTTCTCAGGCTGGGCAGTGGTGGAGATGTTATTTGATTCGTCCAGGTGCTAGCAGTGCTGAGAGTTTGTTGTTTTTAACACCATGGAGTTAATTCTGACTCCTAGTGATCCTCCTGTTGTACAGCAGAGCAGAACTCTGCTGGTCTTTTTGGGCCATCCTCTCACCTTCCACCACTATATCAGACAATGCCCTGCTGGTATTCATAGGGTTTCCATGGCCAATTCTTTTGGAAGTGGGTGGCCAGGTCCTTCTTCCTCCTATGCCTTAGTCTGGAAACTCCACTGAAACCTGTCCACATGGGGACGCTGCTGGTATCTGAAATACCAGGGGCATAACTTGCAGCATCACAGCAACAAATAGCCATCACAGTATGACAACCTACAGATGAGTGGTGTGGATTCCTGACTGGGAAATGAATAAGGGCCATGGCAGTGAAAGCACTGAATATTAACCACTAGACCACCAGGGCTAGGAGTAGCACCCAAAATATTAAAGAGTAAGGGAACTGTTTTTGTCACTATGAAAATGAGTCACAACAAAGTGTCAGGAAGGAAAGAGCTCTTGGTCATGATCCTAGAGACAGAGTTAATGATGTTATTAGTTAACATTCATTGAGTGATATCTATTCATCAGACACTGTGCTAAGATAGGAATTAGATATTATTCATATGTAATTCCATTATTTCAACAACGCTTTTGAGGTAGGTATTATTATTGTTATTACATCAGTTTTACAAGTGAGGATACTGATTATTTAAGAGATTTTAAAACTTAGTACATGTTTATATGGATAAAATGGCAGAGCTAGAATTTGAACTCAACTCTCTCAGTTGGAAATCTATGTTTTTAAACACCATATATTAGGACAAGGCTTGATCTGTTTGTGTGTAGTTTACTTCCAATGAAGAGTAGGTTGTCCATCAAAGCAAAAGGAAATCTTCCTGGACCCAGATCAGGGAAAGCTCAGAGGAGCATAACGAAGGGGACTGTAAATAAGACTATGGCGATGGATGGTTGGCCTCTTTCCCCATTACCCAGAGAGGAATTAGTGCTCAGAAATGTTTGGCTCTACCGATTTCTTGGTTTTTATTTTGGACTCAGGTGTGAGTGGACGGGCAGCCATGTGGAAAAAGAGTGTGCCTACTCCTGCCCATTAAAATAATGAACTCCCAAAGGACATTTTGAAGACTGGGTAATAAAGGAACAGGGATTCCAGAAACAGATATTGCTACTTGCATGAGGCCAAAGTATAAAAAATTGACTCAATCAGAAACCTTGCATGGAGCCAGTGGGAAATACAGATGAACTGAAGTTTGAAAATGATGTTATTGCAGCAAAGCAATCAATAATTTTTCTCCTATAGCATGAGATCTCAGGACACTTCTGCATAAAGTAATTCAGTAAGTCCAGCTCCTTCTCTCTTGTCTCATTTATCCAACAAATGACAATTATAAATTCAAACAGCCTATTCCAAATTTTATCTGTAAGACGGTGGAGTAACTCTAGCCACCTAGATAGAGGGTTAAATGAGTTAATATAAATCAAGTCCTTATAACAGTGCCTGGTTTCCAATAAACCCTAAGTAAGCGTTTGTGATTATATTATATTATTATAGTTGAGCACTCATAAGCCAAACACCCTGCTAACCTTTGAGGATATGTAGTGAAAAAAAATTCATGTGTTCAACAAATATTTACTGTGCCTGTGTCCAATAGACTGTTCTAGGGACTCAGGATAGATTAATAAACACAACAGATAAAACTCCTTGCCTGCCTTTGAGTAGCTTACATTATGCTAGGGAAGATGTCATTAAGATAAGAAACACCAAGCTCATCTTATTTTCTCTTTGCTGGGATTAACAGATTGATGTCATAGTGAAGAGTGGTCTCAGCTCTTCTTGGTTTTGGCTGCTCAATTACTGATGGTGGGGAGACTTAAAATTTTTAGAAAACACAAAGCTAGAAGCAGTATTTATTTTAACACTTTTATTGAGATCTCTTTAACATATAGAAATTGTATATATTTGGGGTGTAAAACTTGATTTTGTATGTGTGCATATATTGCAAAAAGATCACCATAATCAAGCTAAATGACTTATCCATTAACTCTCATAGTTACCCTTGAGTGTGTGTGTGTGAGAAGATTTAATTTAAGATCTATCCTCTTAGAAAACTTCAAGTATACAATACAGTAATGTTAACTATTGCCACTATGCTGTTCATTAGGTCTCCTGAACTTATTTTTCTTGAAAAATTGAAACTGTACTCTTTGACCGTCATCTCCCCATTCCCCTACCCCTGCCTGCCCACTGACCTCAGCCACTGGAAACCACCATTCTACTCTCTACTTTTACGAGTTTACTTTTTTAGAATTCCACTTGTTAGTGAGATCATGCATAATTTTTCTTTCTGTGTCTGGCATATTTCACTAGCATAATGTTCAACTATGTTGTTGTAAATGACAAGATTTCCTTCTTTTTATGGCTGAATAGTATTTCCTTATCTATCTATTTATCTATCTGTCATCTATCATCATCTATCATGTATCTATCTATATATCTCACATTTTCTTTTCTTGTTTAACTTTAATTGTTCTTCAGTCAACTTTTTTATTTTTTTAAAGAGTCAACAGTTTTAAAGAGTTTTGTTTTTGAGGAAGATTGGTCCTGCACTAACATCTGTTGCCAATCTTCTTCTTTTTCCTTTTTCTCCCCAAAGCCCCAGTACATAGTTGTATATCACAGTTGTAGAGTTGTAGCTCTTCTATGTGGGATGCCATCTCCACATGTCTTGATGAGCGGTGAATAGGTTGGTGTCTAGGATCTGAACTTGCAAACCCTGGGGTGCTGAAGCAGAACGTGTGAACTTAACCGCTACACCACCAGGCCAGCCCTCACGTTTTCTTTATCCATTCCTCTATTGATGGACATTTAGGTTGTTTCCATATCTTGGCTATTGTGAATAATGCTTCAATGAACATGGAAGTGCAGATATCTCTTTGAGAGACTTCATTTCCTTTGGATATATGCCCAGGAGTTGGATTGCTGGATCGTATGGTAGGTCTATTTTTAATTTTTTGAAGAACCTCCATATTGTTTTCTGTAGTGACTGTACCAATTTACATTCCCACCAATGTACAAGGGTTCCGTTTTCTCTACCTCCTTGCCAACACTTGCTATCTCTTGTCTTTTTAATAACAGCCATCCTAAAGTGTGTGAGGTGATATTTCATTGCAGTTTTGATTTTCATTTCCTTGATGATTAGTGACGTTGAGCACCTCTTCACCTAAAACAGGTTTTAAAATGAACGAATGATAGAGAAATGCAATCAGATAGTTACAATTTGTTGTAAACATGCATGTGCCATTAAATTTGAAAAAATGATAAAATACCAGCAACTTTAATTTTACCATTGGATTTTCCCTAGGGCACTTCTGCCTTTTTATATCCATTTATATTTCCTCATTTGATCTTGTACTAGTGCCATCTTTCTTAACTAAAAAGTCTGTCTTTCTTAATGCAAAATGTGTGTGGTCTTACCTCATGTCTTCAAAATGATAATCTGGTCAGCCGGATGATATCAAAGTTGTCCCTTGCCTATCCTAAAGTATTATTCTTAATTATGTAGTGAACTGTCTCCTGCTTTTCTTGTTCAGGAAAGACTGGTTTCTTGTTCTTGACCATCATGGCTCATCCAATTTCAGTCAACTTTGGTGTTGCTTCCCCTCTGCCCTCATGGAGATATGTTCATAGCCCTTCTATCTCATAATACTGCTGATTGAGTTAGTCCAAATTTTGATCTTTTTATGCAATGACTTGTATAAAAACTTACTATATAACTAGAAAAAAATTCTAATTCTAAACATGCATGTATATGTATATATTATGTATTATATATGTATATTTATATAGTACTCTTATTTTTACTTGAAAAGAATAGACTACTTTATTACAGATTGGATTTCCTCCCTCAAAATGGAGTATATCAAATATTGTAGCCTGTTGTATTTAGCTCTTTTTTGGATTCTTATACTAAAGATATATAAAATATAAGAAATTCATAACTTTATTGTTAACCTGGGTTTATATTTTGAAGTCAGAAAGTCTAAAAAGCCATGAGAAACCGAAGCCCAGAGGAACCTTGATACTTATCTTACTCAATCCTCTCATTTTTCAATTGAGAAAATGAGGATTTGAAGAGGAGAACTGACTTTCCAACGGTCCCCAGAGAGTTAGGAATGGAACTGCAGACAAAACTCAGATTACTGACTCCCAGTAACTCTCTTCTCTATTAGATGGATCCTCTTCTGGTCAACAAAGTATATAGCACACAGATTTTAAATAGTGCCATGAAATTATCATAGGCTGACTTCCTCTGAGAAGACTTTGCCTAGCAGGTAGCTAGCTAGGACCTTACCTTGGTATTAACTGTTTATATGATCTTCCAGGAAATATCCACTCAAATAATAACAAACAAAATCTAACTGATCACAGGATTGTTTCTTTTCCTTTACGCAGGAAGCAGATCTATGGCCATAAGAAGGAACAATACAACTGTCACAAAATTCATCCTCCTGGGATTTTCGGATCAGCCTCAAATGACTATTTTCTATTTTGTGTCATTTCTGGGGATTTACCTCCTGACCCTAGCCTGGAACATGAGCCTCATCGTCCTCATCAGGATGGACTCCCACCTGCACACGCCGATGTACTTCTTCCTCAGTAACCTGTCCTTCCTAGATATCTGCTATGTGTCCTCCACAACTCCCAAAATGCTCTCTGACATTATCACAGAACAGAAAACCATTTCCTTTGTTGGCTGTGCCATGCAGTACTTTGTCTTCTGTGGAATGGGGCTGACTGAATGCTTTCTTTTGGCAGCCATGGCATATGATCGGTATGCTGCAATCTGTAACCCATTGCTCTACACAGCCCTCATTTCCCATACACTTTGTTTAAAGATGGTGGCTGGGGCCTATGTGGGTGGATTTCTTAGTTCTTTGATTGAAACATACTCTGTCTATCAACATGATTTCTGCGGGCCCAACACAATCAACCACTTCTTCTGTGACCTTCCTCCAGTCCTGGTTCTGTCATGCTCTGATACCTTCACCAGCCAGGTGGTGAACTTCATTGTAGGTGTTGTTGTTGGAGTGGTATCTGTCCTTGTGGTCCTCATCTCTTATGGTTACATTGTTGCTGCTGTCCTGAAGATCAGCTCAGCTAAAGGTAGGACCAAGGCCTTCAGCACCTGTGTCTCTCACCTGACTGCTGTGACCCTCTTCTATGGTTCTGGTCTCTTCATGTACATGCGACCTAGTTCCAGCTACTCCCTAAACCGGGACAAGGTGGTGTCCATATTCTATGCTGTGGTGATCCCTATGGTGAATCCCATCATCTATAGTCTTAGGAATAAGGAGATTAAAAGTGCCATGAGGAAAGCTGTGGAAAGGCATTATTTGCTTTCTCATGGGCATTCATTTTTCTGACCCCAAGCTAATGTTTACAATGAAGCTGTGAGCAGGGTCAATTATGCTGACTTTCATGTAATTCTGGACTAGTTGATCAACACAATGATTTGTGTTGAGCAGGCTTTTTTTCTTTTCTACTTTTCCAATATTCCCCTAACCAGTCTACCTATTGGTTATTGGAAAACAGTTTGGTTATTATTGGTTTCTAGAATGAATAACATTGTATAGATTGAGATTATAAATGTTCAATTTACCAAAGAACTTCACCATGACAAAGAATGAGCAACCTGAAATGTCAAAACAGAGTTGGTGTCCATAGGAGGAAAACATTGAAAAAATGTTAGTCCAGCATTCAAGGTGGTGATTCTTAAGGTAGGATAGGAATATACAGCATAATAACCTGAGAATGGGGACACTTTTTCTGAAAACAATTGCCTTTCTCTCTTATGAGGTTCCAACATGTTTCCTTTAGGGCACATGAGCACCACAAGGCAGACACACTCCCCTATTGAGAATCATGGCTATTGTGAACCACTGTGACTGGTCGGTGTGTAGTACTGACTCTTTAGATGTATTAAGGCAGGAAAGAGATTGAAAACTTCTGATTAGGGCCTTAATGTCTGAACAAATGGGAAGACCTCATGGCTAACTCAATCAACGATACAAAAAGTGGTCACTGAAATGATTTGAACAAAACCAAGGAATTGTCATTAGAGTCCAAAGTAATAGCTTTCTAAGCAACACTCAAAGTTTCTTAGGAATCTGCAGAAGAGGAGTACCCTTCCCCTCGGTTTTCACCAATTTTGTGATAAGTTCTAGAAAATAATTTAGCCAAGAAATTGAAGAGAGTGATTTTTCTCCTCTACATTTTCTCAGAACTTGTTATATATCCTTCAACTGGCAGTAAAAACTGGAATAAATTTATTCAGCTGTGACCTCTCTTGGGTAGGCACTAAATAAGTGAGTAAATAGGTATCTACCTGTTTGTCCTTGGGCAAGATATTTGGGCTCTGTGTGCCTTAGTTCCTCACCCATAAAGTAAAAATATTAATAGTAATTATCTCATAGATGTATTGTGAAGAATTAAATGAGTCAGTATAAGTAAACACTTAGAATCATGTCTGATGTATAGAAAATGCTCAAGGGGTGATATTGTTATTATTATTATTATGCTATAATGATTTACTACCATCTGAGCTAAAGAAATAGAAGACATTTCCTTAGTTTGATAGGAAATGTGATCTTTGTAATGGCTTTGATGCATTAGAAAGTGGGTCTGCAGAGAGTACAGTAAGAAGTTGTTAAGAGTATTTAAGTATTCTTGTCATCAGGCCTGTGATTATTAATCTCATCTCTGCCATTTTGCAGGTATCTTTATAACCATTTTTTCCTCCACCTTTATCTGTACTCCAGTTCACTGAGCTCCTATCCTTCAATTTACCTTTGTAGCTAATCTAAAATTCTCCTAATGCCAAAAGTCATTAGAACAATAATAAACAAATAAATAAACACCTCATGATCTGGATTTACATGAAGCTGTCACTAGTGTGATATTACCTCTAACTTTTTTTTAATGAACAAAAATTCTGAATATAAATCTCTCTTGTTTGGCGATGTATGTTTGCCAGTAATGGAAATTTGGTTTATGCATTGAGAAGATATAAGATACTTTTGCAGTTTGCCCAACTATGAAGGAGAAAGCAATGCTTATTCATCAATAACCAATAAATCTGGTGCATAAGATGGGGATGGGTCATGAGGCTTGAATAAAGCAAAAATGATCTAGGTTTTACAGTAAGCCACATGTTAAATAAAACTTCCCAAATAAGTTCATTTATTATGGGGCATACAAACAGACATACATTAAACAGAATAATTTGGCGCTAAGAGAATCAGGCATTTTATAACTATTTGAAGCAGGACAAGGTACATCTGTCTCCAGAAGAAGCTAGCCAATTGGAGATGAATTCACTTTAGTAAGAGTACCACAATCCAGGGTGCGGTGCTCATCTTTGCAACCTCCAAAAATCTCTTCCAGATGGATTGAAGTTAATTAACCAATTTCAGAATTCTGCATAAGCCAGTAATACCATTTTTAGTTTTCAGTGAAGAACAAAACAGTGAAGCTTGTACTTGTACCAGTGGCACAATTCTCTGTGTTGTTGAGAAAACCACATGGAAAAACAAATTACAATCAAAAGTCTATTTGGAGAGAAAGGAATCAAAGCAAAGCGGGTAATGTGTATCAGTGTCTGATATGCCCAGCTACAGGGTCCAGACAGGCTGAGACCCTGAACCAGGGTACTACCAATTTTTCTCCCCAAACATTCATTTTTCTTCTAAGGGACCATCTTCACTTCTAATCAATATATTATTTACAGATTCATTAATTCAAAAGTTTTCCTTCTTTTGGTCTAAGAAATATTTTATCTCTAAAATGCCCCTTTTACATATTTTATTCATCTATTATGATCTGATTTGTGGTTTAATTTTTAGTTTTCAGAAACCTGCTTATTGTCCTTATGTTCTATCTACATTCCCCTAATTTTTTTTTGGTAGGTATGTATGATTACACACACACACACTCACTTACATACTCACAAATTAGTGACTGATGCATGAAATGGGTTGTGATGAGATTTTAAACCTTTTTCTAAACATGAATCATCTCACGTTTCTAGTCTTGAACCAAGAGAAACTTGCTTGTTCTGTGATCCTTCACACAAATAAGGAAACATTTGCATTTCACTTTCCTGTGTTCAGAAGACTGATTTGGATCTCACTGACCTACAACTGAGCAAGGAAAGCCTGACTGACTTGTATAGAAGCAGATACACCATGTGCATTCTCCCATCAGCTTGATCTATGACTACCTTCCCTGAATTCTTGTCTCCTTGTCTATAACATCTCCTAACTAACTGGGGAAGATAAACCAACTGCTTATATCTGGCTTTTGCTGCTTTTATTCCGTTCTCACTCTTCTCGTGCTCTCCTCTCCCCTTTTAATCTGGCCATGACCTCCTATGTGTAATACTGCTTATGGATCTGGCCAGGGATGAGATTCCCATCTTTCCTACAAGTAAAGAAATAGCCATATCAGGCTCTTGCAGTCATGGCTTGGAACCATTATAAACTAGATGTGGCAGCACCTCCTTTCAATGTTGCCAGACTAGATGGCTGGCACCATCTAGTTGCAAGACAGACAAACCACACACTTTTGTGGGACCACACTCTAGAAATAAATAGGCATCTGCAACCCAGACAAACTTCACGGAAGAAGAGAGACTTCCTCTTTCTCTCAAAGCAAAGTTCTTCTGAAGTAGAAACATGATATCAGATTGGACTTAAATGTCAAAATAAGTATAAAAACTGGCATGAGTAAAGTATCACGTTGATATTGTATGGTGTATTCTTGTTGTTCTAATAAAACTTCTTTCTTTCTTTTTTTTTTTTAGAAATTTATTTATTTATTTTTTATTTTTATTTATTTTTAATTTTTTTTGTGTGAGGAAGATCAGCCCTGAGCTAACATCCATGCTAATCCTCCTCTTTATGCTGATGAAGACCGACTTTGAGCTAACATCTATTTCCAATCCTCCTCCTTTTTATTTTTCTCCAAAGCCCCAGTAGATAGTTGTATGTCATAGTTGCACATCCTTCTAGTTGCTGTATGTGGGACGCGGCCTCAGCATGGCCGGGGAAGCGGTGCTTTGGTGCGCGCCCGGGATCCGAACCCAGGCCGCCAATAGCCAAGCGCACGCACTTAACCGCTAAGCCACGGGGCCGGCCCTAAAACCTCTTTCTTATGCAAAGGGAGACTGTGTTGTTTTCATCTTAAGAAATCCTTAAGGAGCATAATTGACCCGCTTGACCAGAGAGAGGAAGTCCCTATATCAGACATACACTGAAACTCATAATTCATTTTCTAACAGCTATAATCTAAGGAAGTAGCCTGGAAGAGATTGTCTCACCCTTCAACTTGACCCTCAGTCTAGAATGTAACTAGAAAGAAGACTCCATCTGGTGCTGAGATGCAGCTGGGAGGTGTCCTTGTACCTAAACAGGAAGAGGTGGATTCTGAGAAGTCTTGCACCTCAACACACCTACCAGTCCAGTCTTTCCTTTACTCATTTCTTGTACCTGATAAAGATGCTATTTACAATTTGCTGTATTATCTGCACTATGTGTCTAGATGCCACTTTTTTTCTTGAGGTCCCTCTTTTTATCAGAAAGCAAAGTAGGTATTCCTTCTCTGTTTAACACTTTTGGTGTCTGTGACTTTCAGATCTCTGAACACTCTGGAATTGTTTTTCATCATACATACCATCCCTGGGGGTAGTTATTCAGAAGGCCATGTGTAAGATCTTCCTGCTTTAGCCAGTTAAATACCTTTAATGAAGACTCTAGACTTCTCTATTCATTTGATTTACTTTTACTTTACAACTACAATTAGGTGTAACTCACCATTAATTTCTTATCTTTCTTTTCCTTTTGGTGTTCAATATGTGTCCTTTTTAAAAAATTTAAAAAAAAGTTCTAAGTGAAATATATTTCACATATAACATTGTGTTATTTTAAAGTGTACAATATGTTGATTTGATACATTTATATGTTGTGATATGATTGCCATTGTAGCAATGGTTATCACGTCTTTTACATCACATAATTATCATTTCTTAATTGTGGTGGGAATAATTAAGATCTCAGCAAGTTTGAATATTATAATTCAGTATTGTTGTCTATAGTCACTATACTTTGCATTATATCTCTAGGAGTTATTTACTACTACTTGCAAGTTTGTACCCTTAAACATCTCCCTTGTTCCTCCACCCCCTAGCCTCCGGTAATCGTCATTTTATTCTGTTTTTACAAGTTTGGCTTTTTTAGATTCCACATATAAGTGAGATCATACAACATTTGTCTTCCTCTGTCTTATCTCACTTAACATATTATCCTCAATGTCCAACCATGTTGTCTCAAATGACAGGATTTCCTTCTTTCTCATGGCAGAATAATATTCCATTGTGTGTATATGTAGATATATATCACATCTTTATCC